AACAAATTTCGTCGAAATCCCTTCAGTATTTTCATAGACGAAGCATGCGGTAATACATAAAACATGTCCCTCCCTTCCTGATATGCGATGTTTTGGTGACCTGTGTTTTTAGAGCGGTTGAAAGAGTTTCAAAAGGACCATCGAAGTCTTGCGTACGTCCACAGAGAGGCATGAAAGACGCTGCGAAAGTTTATTTCCTCTCTGCGAGAGGGTATCAAAGGCAGTGCAGCGTCCTATGATGTCTGTTGCTTAGGAGACACTTCTACTCCCAAATTTTTTCCTTTAACACTAACCTAGAGTCTAATTTATTTTGAATGCGATATTTAAACTACTTTCAGCTGTTTTTCGACTTTCTAAAAATCAGTGAAGATGTTGGCAAAGTTTCCGATTTTAAAAATATAACTTGCTTCAGATAAACAGAGTATTATTTAACAAATACGGACTCCCGCACTCAGCACATCTTAAACGTTTAACATCACAAATAATTGCATCCCTGTATCGTGTAAGCATCGCTCATATTGCAGAGAATTTCGTAAAGTCTTGTGGCTTTCGTTAACACGCTGCAACAAATGTTGACATGCATTAAGTCTTCAAAATTTGTACTTCGCCATTTTGTCATGACGCCCATTTTATAAAGATCCTAACGTAATGTTCCAAAGTTAATAGCACTACAGATTTCATTTTTGACATAAAACACGATACTCGTCTAAATAACACGTAAACATTCGGTTCGCATCAGAAATTAAAACACAACGCGTCTCCATGACCACGATCAGTCGGTTAATGCTGCCAACAAAACAAAAAATCACTGTTTATTCTCAGAATCATACGAAACACATAAATACAGTCTCCGGTCAACATTCAGACTTAATTACTGATTGTTAAAGCAGATGATGCACATAGTTACCACTGGGTTTAAAAGGGCCAATGAGATATTCGCGTTAAGTAACTATTCAGCAGAAAAGTAGACAAGAAACTTAAATCTTTAATTTAACTGCAGGTTGCAAAATCCATTGTCAATAGGTGTATTAAATAAATTTTAGAGAAAATGTAAAATAGTCTCTTGAATAGTGATTCATTGTAAGTAAAAATCTTGATGACGGAGGCAGCAAGCATCTCTGAAACGTCGGTAAACTTTCACCAGACTCTGATCTTAGCAGACAAAATGTAGTCAGGACGATAGATTTCCATCGACATTCAGAGGTTTGTGACAACGCAGTCAGCGTTTGAAGCTATTACAGTCCTGGCTGGGGGTACTGAAATATTTTACCCCTTTAAGAAAAAAAGAATAATTTAAATTATGATCCTCCAGATAATATGACCCGGAAAATGAAACGGTAAAGGGGCAACCATTAGGATAAAATGTAGCCTGGATATAGGAATTCACGTGCCTGAAACAAGTTTCCACGCCAACGAAGAACGTCATTTGTCATTTCTCCTTTCCAAGAAATAACTTTTATTATTCCTTGAATCACATTTACGCATATAGACAGCTCTGTGATATTTACCTGCGCATGTACAATGCTAAATATAAAAACCAAAGCGCTGACATTCTATCACTCTCTGTCAACAGAAAGGCTATATTTGCAGAAAACATCTTTCTTCTCGCCTGGAGGCAATCTTTCCGATGTCATTCAATTCTTATTCAAATGTTATATTTCTCTGAATACGTTAATGTTAGGCGGCGCTTTCTTTAATAATGTATCATATTTTTCCTTTTTCCACTTTTCACTACATTCCATCTAGTAGGTGGAAATAAGTTCTTTGAGATGTATTAGAAAAAAAAAGAGATATATATGAAACTTCTAAATAAAAGTCCGTATAAGTGAACATTTGTCAGATTATCAGAAAAATCCCACGTTTTTCGTTAAAATACGAAGATACGGTACAGTGTTCAGAGTCGTGAAAGCTTATAAAATGTCAGAACTCTCTTATTCGGGGGTTTTCTCGCTTCAGAAATCCAACCGACCGCCATTTTAATATAGTAAATTCATACCTCGTTTAGCAATATCTTAGCAGACAGTGACAACTGTTATCCATTTAAAGCCCAATGGTATCTATATTTACCACTTGTTTCAATAATCAGTAACCCTCAAGTTTGTTCTTATTGGTTTATTGAATCCTCACTATAAACAGCGTTTATTTATTTAATCAGCGTTAACCAGTTGATCTATGTAATGGTGAAGAGTTGTGTTTTCTTCGCGGTACGGACTGAGTTTTTAAATATTAATCAGACGAACTAAGATTCTCACCCTTCGGGTCTCAGATCATCATGGCTTCTCTGTCCCTCCATACAAATTTCAGAATGTTACCTTAAATTAGGCAAGGGTCAAACCCTTTGAGTATACTGTTCACTTATAATCTTGTGATTCGATATTATATACTCCGATCTATTAACAGCATCGTTAAATAAGCAATTGTACAAGTGGTTAATAATTTTCTCATACTATGATAATATTTATGACCGCGTGTGTGTGTTAACGCATAAAATACTACAACAGTTGCCACGGTAACGATGTTTAAGGATTTTCTGCCTCGCTGTTTGCATTGCTGACCGCAAAACCACGGCGTCCTACGCCATTTTTTCGCGTGCTCTTCTTGACAGTTATTGTCGTCACACGCGAAAGTTCATTAGCTCCTTCAGAGATAAAACGTAAATCCAGATACATTCTGCCAGATCCCATTTTAATGTTATTTTTAAATAAATGGGCACTTTACCGCAGCTCTCATCTATATATTTAAAAAAACTTTCGTCTTTCTAGCAAGAAACATCAGGTAACTCGATATATCTCGAGCAGGAAAAAATAGCACGTGCTGGTCCCTCGAACTGAGCTGATGACAAGGGCCTCTGCATTCTATCACACATAAATGAGGATCACTTGGCAGGAACTGGGCTTCAAGAACTGAATTTAGATGCAGTCCAGTGTTGAAACAACAGGAAGCTCCCTTTGTGTCAGTCACACACAGGAAGAAAGAAACCATTCGCGACTGTTTTGATACATTTCATTCCGGGGAAAACAAAGAACAACTTCTCTCCTTGTTTTCTGACATAATGCAGATCTCGGCAATAGATCCTTTACAGATGGCTCGCTACTTGTGTGCAGTGAGGACATTTGGCGACTGTGCCGCTATAGTTAGATACGCGGTTGACTTCTGGGACGTGGACGTGGTAGTAAATTCCCGACGTTTCACAGGTACTTGCTGCCTCCCTCATCAAATCGATTAGCATCTCTATAAAAACGTCGGTAAACTTCTACCAACAACCCAGAAGACAGCCATCTTCACATTAGCCGCCATGAGAATGTGAAATTTCAAAACGTGAACATCGATATACGCTATTAACTGTTGAAAGAGGGAATCATTTCGGTTTGTAATAAAGTATTCCAACGCCATTTCGTCAATAATTAGGTCAAGTGTGGAGTTATCGTCTGCTGGACTTGCCTTCCAGCCGTACAATGCAGTCTTTAGTTTCTTGCTAACTCGTACTGGACGTAGAATTTGGTGTGGCGCCGAGCCAAACCGCGGTAACAGCAAATTCTTCGTTACGTAAGAATATACGCCAACCAAGAAAAAAAAAGTAAAAAAATAATAATAATTTTCTTCTGGCAGACTCTAACAAGTAGCCTGTCGTGCACAAAATAAAATATTCCATCTTCCAGAGCTTGTGAACTATAGTCAGAGGCCCTTGCCAACCGCGGGGGGTTACGTTCTTGTTCGGCGGCTTGTATACCTACCACCTGCTTTAACATTCAGTAAATCTGCAGAATTTCTCCCACGCAGTGTAATCAAGTGATTCGTATGATTCTCGGTATAAACATCGATTATTTCCTTAAACAGCGTCAACCAGTTGACCTTTGTAACGATGAAGTGCGGTATTTTCTTCGCGGCACGGACTAAGTTCTTAATATTATTCAGACGAACTATGATTCTCACTGTAAACAGCGTCAACCAGTTGATATTTGTAATGGTAAAGAGTTGTGTTTTCTTCGCGGTACGGACTGAGTTCTTAATATAATTCACACAAACTTCCTGCTTCAAAGCGTTAATTGTAGTTTAAGGTCAAAACTCGAACAACAGAAGGTCAGAGCTTTCGGGAAAATGCGAGTAGAGTACACATGAGCATGACAGGTGGATGATGACGATTAGAGGGATGAACAGCTGTCAACAGAATTGGCTCTTAATTATCTGAGAGTCATAAGGACGATAAGAATGAACATGGCTGAACTCGAACTCTCAGTTCAATATTTGACGAAATTCAAGGAAAATCACGTCTGATTCCTACATTACGCCAACAGCTTTGTAACAATGTATTTGTAACCCCGCATAACAAAACTGTTAATTGGTGTCTATTTGTTTTCCTTTCTAGTAGTCAAGAATATACAGTCACAACCTATTTCAATAGTACTTGATTGTATAGTTCAGAAGTGAATGATCTGCATTGGAAATAATTATAATAAAAATTATTCTGAACGTACATAGGTCTGTATATATCCAGAGTTTAAATATTACGTCATATAGGGTAAAATAATATAGCAAATTCATATAAATACATACATCAATTAATAAAAAGTAAAGTTTGTCCCACTATACGCCATGTAGGCGTTTGGGGTGAGAGGAGGTATAGCTCCTCTCTTCCTTGACCTCGGCACTAGATGGGGGTGAGTGGTCAGCATCACGCCCCGGCCGGCTTTACCCCCGGGAAAGGACCCCCGGTACCCATTGTAGAGGAGGCTGGGTGGGCCCCAGAGCCGGTCTGGACGCAGAGGCTAGAGGAAAAATCCTCTGCCCTCGTCGGGGATCGAACCCCGGTCGTCCAGCCCGTAGCTAGACACTATACTGACTGAGCTATCCCGGCTCATACATCAATTAATAAGGAAGCAAATAAACAAGTTCGAAGACACGCATTACACAAAAGAGTACTATTTCTAAACATCCTTTATAAGATTTCCATTAGCAATAGATGAAAATGAAAACCCATGAGACAAATTCAGTTGTCCTACCTGACTGATGTGTGAAATTCATCATCCGGTGAAGAGCGCTCATGAATCATCGGACGATAAAGTCATCACCTGTAACATGAACATTAAGAAATCGCAATTATAAATGTGTTATGAAACAGCTCATTAATTGTGAACAGATTTTAACAACAGTTTGTCAGCTTTCAGGTTCTCACGGCGAAAATCGTGGGTTAGCGCGCAACGTTCTCCAGTTCTCCAGTCGGAACAGACCTCAGCACAATTCACAGACGACAGAAGAATACTGTTCAGTGGGAAGTGTTAATTCATTACACGGAATTCAAATGGGCATCAGGCAAGCTAGAAAAAGAGAGATCCTCACATTTATTTTTTCTGAAACTTATTTATCTCAATCGTTAACCTACAATTTCATTTCAGAGTAGGCTCACCTACTTGGAAGCCACATTTATTTTAGTTCAACATGTATTGTTCATTTAACCACACTGTCAGTAGCTCAGTTAAAAAACATTGACCGATACCGATTGGAACGAAGTTCTGGTACTCATATTTAAGATGCTATCCCCACATTTGCCTGAGGAAAACCGTGAAACAGTTCTTTCTTCTCCACTTCCGTTTTCTTATTGTCTATTCACTGTTAATTTAAGACCATAAAAAGTGCATATTAGGCAAAACTGAAAGCTATATGAACAATTGCACGTAAGCCTATGTGTTCGAAAATTAAAGACAAAAGTCAGCAGATCCTCTTAACCACGATTAAAGTCTAAAGCCGACAGAGATTGTTAAATTACGACATCCTTATTCCTCCGAAAAACCAACATAATGCTCTATTAACACCACGCAAACTTCTCTATTAGGCTGTAATTTTTCCCATAAATCTTACTTGCCCTGTTATTAGATCAAGTGTCCTCCCCACATTTTAGATAATGACAAAGTTTTCAACGCATTTATAGCCTAATATCGTAACGGCTTCTACACGCAAATGCAAGCGGAGACAATTTGAAACAAAATGGTCTTAATTCTAAGCCGTTAATGGGTAGAAGTTTGGGGGCGAAGCTGTTGAGGGAACAGGGGGGTGGAGGTGCTAGAAAGTAGAGGGAGTATTCTATTGGAACACAGTGTCTGATGTGCCTAGGGGTGCAAAACCCATCAATAAATCATCCCTTAAGTCTCGCCCTAAGTACTCACCCAGCAAGTGATTGCCATTTTCCTTGGCAAACGGCCTATCACTTAAAATTATCGTTTAACCCAGGTCCTGCTCATTGCCGAAGGCTCTTCGGAATAACAATTGCTCTCGAATTCAGATTTCTCTGCGGGATTTCATTTTCAAAGGCCGGTGGTCACTGCGGCCCTGAGCTAACGCTGCCCACCTTGACACGTGGGAAACATTCGCACGATCGAAGAGAAAACTCGAGCCGTGTCCGAAGGCAAATTTAACCGTTGCACAACAATTCAGATCATCTGAAGTGCATTGATTCGTCATGGAAATCCGGCCCTTATTTCACCACCAAGTTCACGAATCAAATATATTCTTAGACTTCAAAATATACGTTCACGTCTTCGAACCTGTTTTTTTTTCATACTGCTAAAAAAAAACAATGTTGGTAACACGAAAGAAAAATTAATTCGTACTGAAAATATCTCAAAACTACAGGACAGATGGATAATAAATTCCTCTCTTCACGCTCTGTTTAAAGTGAAGAATTAATTAACACACAACTAAAATTTTACAGCTTTTTTTTTTGTACGGGTGTGAAACTTGGTGTCTCAGTCACTGTTTTCAAAAACATTGACTGAGGAGAATATTTGGAAGTAAGGCGGATGATGTGGCAGGATGCCTGAATAAAACAGAAGGTTCGGGTGACTGACGCGGTCGCTAAGAAATGTAACTTAGAGGAAGAGGGTGGGGGTTAGTTATCAAATATTTAAAGAGTTACTGGGTTAATTGCTGACCTAGTTAAGCAGCCATCCCTAGGAAGGGCAGAGCCGAAACAGACCAGAATGCTACTGTTAGAACAATTCTAGACATCGGCAATTATAAATTAATGAGTGATTTGGCACTGTGGCATGTTCGCGCTGCAAAACGGCCTGTTAACTTATCAAAGAGCAGTTAGCACTGACAGGGCTGTTGCAGCAGAAGCAACAAATCAAGGGAAGCACGAAATGAGCGAAAAAAATAAATTTAAATAATTTCCCTCTTCAACACGGACGCGTAAAAGGAAAAAATACCGGAGTAACAAGTAGGAAATTGTATGTTTTCTGAGACTGTAACAAATTACAAGCAATCGGTCAGCACACAACGCGGTAACAAGTGCCGGAAGATGGCTCCAGCGTCGGAATGGAGAAATACAGGGATGAACGTGAAATATATATATTTTTTTAAAAAAAACCAGCCTGCTGTTATCTACTGAAACGTACAGGGTTCGAATCCAGTGCCAAAATTGGATATTACCGTTGGAAATTTAGCAGTTAACCCGCCCTTATATTATTATTTATATTTTTTATAAATTCAGTCCGTACCGCGAAGAAAACACTTCACCATTACAAAAATCAACTGGTTAACGATGTTTATTATTAAAACACATAAATACACTCTGTGGAGAAAATGTATATTCGCTGACATTAAAGCAAGTGGTAAATATACTTACCACTGAGCTTTAAAGGGATAAATGTGTGAACTATGAATTTATAAAGCACAACCATTCCGACACGTTGTTGCGATCCAAGTAAATCCCCTGAGCTAACAGGAATTTCAACATTAATGGCATAAAAATTGGGACTGGTAATACCATTGAAGAATGGCAGCTCGGCCTGAAGACGCTTCTTTATAAATAGAAGTCACATTAATTTCACTGACAGCTTGACTCCTGCATATTTCGCTCTGGCCTCGTCTTAAATACAAGGAGCGAAACAGATTCTGTTGCGTTACAAATCCTCAGTCCCTGTGCAGCTTAAAACCCTACAAAAACAAGGCTAAAAGAAATATCTAAAGAGAACAGGGGAATTAAAACTTAATTATTTCTCTCTTTTTCATTAATTATTTCTCTCTCCCGTTTCTCTTTCTCTTATGGTCGCTGTGTACACTCCTCCACGCCCTCTATACGTCCTCATAACGTCACGGTAACAAACGAAACGAGACGCAAGTAGACTTCTGAACACTTCGCCCTGTGGGCCAGGACACAAACGAGATAAAGGAGCAGAATAAGAGGAGATCAAAGACAGGCAAGAGGAGGGAGGATAAAGATAAGAAAGAGGAACATAGGGTACATGAAAATGGAAGATGTGAGGAAGAGTTTGAGTAGAATAGGAGAAACATCAAAACGCAGAGGAAGACGAAGGAGGAAATGAGAATAAATTTGTAAATATAGTCACAAGGATAGAACTACGAGAAAGCAGGAGAATGAGGAGGAAAAAACATAAAAACGATGATGAAGTAAAATGTAAACTGACACTCGAAATAGGATAAAAGCAAAAGGAGATGGGTAAAAACTAACATAAGGGTAAGACAGAAGCGTCAAGAAAGAGGAGAGACGGAAAATAGGAAAAGACAAATTGACGAAAATCAAGAAAACAAGAAAAATAAAATCATCTTTCTCTGACGTCTCTGGATACGTAACGCTGAGAAAACCTACCACTCCACACCAGCTTACATTCTCCTAATAATCTCGGTCCCAAAATACTAGTAACGCTACGTCAAGAACTGCACTACAAAGTAAAAAACAGATTCTCGGCTACATGTTTCGTTGAAATTTCAACTATCGTCAAGGCAGTACACAGCTGCACACCCCAGATCTGGACCACAAAATCAATGAGAGAAGTCGCAAAACATTAAAAAAAATTGTAGAACGCGGGATACGAGGCTTCCACGGCGAAGTGTAAACAATGGAATGTCCTCTCCTGACGTCGTCGCGAAGAACGAGGTGGAGACGAAATTTGTCCGATTTCTAGCGTCGTTTCAAATGGCATCCCGAGGCTCGCCTCGTGTAAAAATGGCCTCTAGTGGCCGAGTGACGACACGGCGTCCGTTTCGGCGTCATATGTCGGCGTCGCGACGCCTATCGTCAGGGCTCTCGTCGTGGGTTCGCATGCGTCAAGTTGCCCATCCAATGGTGATGTATCTTTGAATATTGTATAAAAAAGTCCCCTAAACCCAAAATCTTCACAGAGACTCTTAGCCGGGAAAGTTTATAACCTTAGTTACCTCTCTGAAAGGTACAAATTTTGCCTTGGGGCCGTTGTCTTCTTGTGCTTAGTTCTGAAGCACAGTAAAACTTCGTCAGGAGTCGAACCGAAGACAGATTTCAGTGTTATGAAGTTTTTCTTACATAACCTCCTCTTCGAAACAAAGAACTTTGATCCATGCGCAATTATTCTATCGTACTTAGTTTCCGAGCTAATCCCTTTCTGGCTTCAAGAAATAAGCATGCCAAGTTTGGTTCAAATCTGTATATCCGTTCTGAGTTTTAAGCGAATGAATTTCAACTTAACATATGAGATTCTCTGAGACAGCTTCAGCCTTAACGGGTTAATACATTTTGTAAAAAAATAAATTCGTCCCTTCGGAATCCTAAAACCGAAATTTCCTAATTGACAAGTTTTCAAGCAAATAATAAATCATTAGAAAGTCGGAAATGGCACAGACACAGAATATAAAAGATAACCAACTACCAAAGCGCAGTATTATCAAAACTAAAAGTGCTTGTTTACTTCTGCTGTGTGAAAGCCAAAATTCATCAACGTCACAGCAAAGTAGCAAGTGTCTTTAGTATGGTAAAATATTTATATGCATGTCAGTTTACCGGAAGAGTAAACCAAAAGGGGACAGGCTTCTAACGAGAAAAAAAGCCACGTCTGCCTCTTGATTACGACAGTAATGCAAATAAAACAGATGAATACATAAATTTGACAAGCCTACTACGAGTGGGACGAAACACTTCATCCTACAGCCTAACATCTGCAAAAATAGAGGAATAGCAAAGAAATTAATGAAGCTGAGTCCTTCGTGAAAAACCAAAGCTTCCTGTGCTGATAAATAAATGTTCCGCGTATTATTGAACCCGAAGGTTCAATACCATGTCCATGACATTGAACTTCTG